GGCATTGTGGGAGCCCAGATCATCAAAGAGGGCTCCCAAGTCCAGAACTTACGTTGTTCTTTTCTATGCTTTTTGTCTCTTGATTAAGATCCTCTCTTCATGAGTCATTGCCATCGCATTTGCCTCTCGTTCTTCAAACACTGTTCCCCTCAGTTCCTTGAACATGTTTATAATGGCTGCTTTGAAGCCCAACATCTGGACACCCTCAGAGAAACGTTCTGTTGACCATTTTCCTCAGTGTAAGTCATGCGATTTTTTTTTTTGTTCAAAATGGACATTTTATTTGTACTTATTTTTTGTTTTTAAAATTTTTTTAATGTTTGTTTTTGAGAGACAGAGTGTGAACGGGGGAAGGGCAGAGAGAGAGGGAGACACAGAATCTGAAGCAGACTCCAGGCTCTGAGCTGTGGGCACGGAGCCCTATGCAGGGTTTAAACCCACCAACGGTGAGATCATGACCCGAGCAGAAGTCGGACACTTAACCGACTGAGCCACCCAGGTGCCCCAAAATGGACGTTTTAAATAATATATTGTAACAACTCTGAGTCATTCCCTCTTCCCCCATGAAGAATTTCGGTGGTGACGGCTCTACTTTCTTTGTTCAGTGATTAACTGATCTAACCCTGGAGAGCGTTTCCCCCACAGCGTGTAGCTGCTGATGTATCTGCTCAGTTTTGGGTTTTGGTTTTGAAGCAGGTTTCCTCTAGGAGGCGCCCCTGGTTCGGCCTCGCTTCCAGATTAGCCAGGGACAGCCACCTGAGAGTCGCTGAGGCTCCGTGCTGGTGGCCCTGTATATATTAGGCAGCTTGCAGGCTGGACCTGCTTCGGCTTCCTGCCGCGCTCTCTTAGGGTTTCTCAGCGCATGCGCGCCGCCTCCCCCTGAGCAGGTTGCATGGAACCGTGGGGCGCACTCCACGTCTCTCAGTGCATGCGCGCAGCCTCGCACCTGCAGGCAGCTTTCTGGACCCTTGCAGTATGTGGAGCCGTCACTGGCTGCCTCATTCTCCAGGCCGCTCAACTGCTGCCCAGTTTGCCAGTCTGTGGCAACCAGGATCCCAACCTCAGGCTGGTTAGGAGAACTTGGCCTTTCCCATTCATCCCACAAGGAGAATCCTACCTATTTCCAATCTGCTGCTGTTCATTTCCAAGGCCGGGCGGTGACTTTCAGGTCCTGGCCTGGCTGGCAGGAAGCAGCCGCAGGCAAAAAGTATGCCAGCCTCCCACTGCTCTCACCTGCCATTCCGATTTTCCTGAATAAACACTTTTTTTTTAAAGACAATTTGTTAAAGTTTATTTTGAGAGAGAGCAAGCATGAATGGGAGAGGGGCAGAGAGAAAATCCGAAGCAGGCTCTTTGCACTGTCAGCACAGAGCCCGACACGGGGCTCAGTCCCGTGACTTGCAAGATCATGACCCAAGCCAAAATCAAGAAGAGTCTGACGCTTCACCGACTAAACTACTCAGGCACCCCAATAAACACTTTTTAATTTGTTGAATGCGTTTGATCAATCTCAAGGATCCTGAAATGGTTGTCTGTGCGAACCCTGTCTAGTTTCATTGTTGCTTTTAGGGCGTGCATTTGCCAGGATCCTCCCTCCCATCGGTTTGGAAGTCCACATTTTTTCGTTTGTTGTAATGACTTTGCCTTTATTTTAATAGATGTGAATTTATTTTAGTGCTTGCAGAAAGTCACCTCACCACACTCTCGATTTCAGGATATTCAGGATGAGGCCAGTTTAAAAATGAGTCCTTTGAGGGGAGCAAAAAGTACAAGTGGAACTTTGGTATGACAAAATGTCTTATGATCCATGAATTGGTATAATATAACTTGTTGGTGAAAGACACCAAGATGCAAAATAATACTGAATTACTGGGCACAAGTGTATACATCTCGTGCAGAGTCTAGAGTTGGGGCCTCACAGTGTTGGAAAGCCCATCCACCTGTGTTGTTGCTCTAGCAACAACCAGACATACGTCCAAGGTCACCTCGTGGCCCAAGATGGCTGCTGGTACTCCATCTATCCATTCCACCTTCCAGCCACCGCTAAGGAAGCAAGGGGAAAGAGAAGGCCCCACCCCGCCCCTTAGAGACCCAATTTGGAAACTGACGTATCACTCTCTTATGCCCTTTGGCCACAACATAGTCATGTGGCCACACAAAGCCACACAGTAAGCTGAGAAATGCAGCCTTGCTTCTGGTACCTACGCGCCCAGCTAAAGTTAAGGACACACAGCTTGCTCGCTGCCTGCTGGATGGTGGTTATGCCCAGGTTTCAGATGAGAAAACAGGCAGAGAGAAGGGAAGTATGTATTTGCCCTGAGGCTGCACTGCCAGCCCTGCAAGCAGTGTTGTCAGGCCATACCCCCCTGCCTCCCAGGTCTGATGGTTGTGGCTTTGAATCCTGGCCCTGCCACTTCCAGGCTGTGTGACCTTGGGCAGCATTCAGCACTTTCTGAGCCCACTGGGAGATAAGAAACCAAAAGGTACTTGGGAGGGTTCTACTTCCTTATTCAGGCATTCCTACATTTTCTATGGTGACAACAAAAAGGAAGATAATTTTTTAAGTGAAAAAAGTGGGGGCGCCTGGGTGGCTCAGTGGTTAAGCATCCAGCTTCAGTTTAGGTCATGATCTCATAGTTCACGAGTTCGAGCCCCGCGTCTGGCTCTGCGCTGACAGCTCGGAGCCTGGAGCCTGCTTCGGATTCTGTGTCTCCCTCTCTCTCTGCCCCTCCCCCACTTGTGCTGTCACTCTCTGTCTCTCAAAAATAAACAAACATTAAAAAAAAGTTTTTGTTTTCTTGTTTTTCTTTTTTAATAGAGAAGAAGAGTATAGACCTGAAGCACCCGGCTGGCTCCATCAGTGGAGCGTGTGGCTCTTGATCTCAGGGTCATGAGTTCCAGCACCATATTGGGCGTAGTGTTTACTTTTAAAAATAATAAAATTAAAGGGGCGCCTGGGTGGCTCGGTCGGTTAAGCGGCCGACTTCGGCTCAGGTCATGATCTCGCGGTCCGTGAGTTCGAGCCCCGCGTCGGGCTCTGTGCTGACAGCTCAGAGCCTGGAGACTGTTTCAGATTCTGTGTCTCCCTCTCTCTGACCCTCCCCCGTTCATGCTCTGTCTCTCTCTGTCTCAAAAATAAATAAACGTGGGGCGCCTGGGTGGCTCAGTCGGTTGAGCGTCCGACTTCGGCTCAGGTCACGATCTCGCGGTC